AGTATAATGACTTATTTTTTAATAAGTAGATAAATTGGAAACTTCTATTTTGTTTCATGAATTAGAATGTTTGAAATGTAACGAGCTAACTTTTATTGATTTTCTTTTGGCCAATTTGAACTTTTTTACGATGAAAATAAGATTTATTATTTCCTAATCATTTATTTAAAATGACAATTATTTCCTGGTAACGCGAAATGCTGCGTAAGGTATATTATAAAACGTAATATTTCACTTGCCGCAGCATCGCAACGTTTTTGGAAAATCTGGCATAATTTCATTTCATACAAGGTGAGGTTGCTTATCAAGAAAATTGCACATGTGCGTTAATGACGAAATTTCTACGTATTCGCGCTCTAATGTTCTCATGAATGTAAAATAGATTCAGAATTATATAACGCTCGAGAGTAGTGAACGCTATATCGGAATCGCTTGTAATTCTGCTTAAGCACGTTCCTCTCAATGCACCGACAAATGCGTGACGGGGAATCATCTCGCACCAATTCACTTCTGAATTTTCATTAAGTTTTGTCCTCGCAAATTTCCAAGATACTTTTTCCGTGTAGAGGCACGCGTTATTAAAATACGTTACCGTGGAAAATGTTTAAATGTACTCACGTACAGAAATTCTATAGCAGTTCTTTCATCATAACACCGAATAAAATATCCATTAGGAATTTGCGTTGTTACAACATTACGTTATCCGGCGCATAATACTTTTATTGGGTGCGTTTAATTAAATTTTCTCTCTCCTGCTATAATAAAGAATTTTGTAAAATTTTTCACAAGAAAAATAAATTTAAATACAAGCTTTATTAACATTTTATCTTACATAATGAACGATATCGAATAGATCAGTTCATTATATTGATATTGCGAATATAAATGCGTATGGTAGAAAATTTTCTTCGGTATGGAAACAACCGATATAATGTTGCGCAGACCAAAGTTTTATGTTACGATCTAATTTATACCGTGTCAATATTTGTTGCAATATTAATCAATTGTCACATGTAAAGGGTTTTTTTTGAATAATATCAAAGCAAGAGTTTTTTTACGCCAATTAACTGTTATACGGATGTACTATCGTCATTTTAATTGAAGGCATACGTCACGTTTAATTGGCACAGTCTTTTCATTTACGGGAACGTATGGGCGGTAGTCATCAAAAATTTGTATATGTGGTAGTATGTCATTCCAACTTTGAAATTGACTTCCGATAAGCGGAGAACAAGATTGATGATCGAATGATGCGCGATGGCTGTCGAAATTTCTGGCAACCGTTGGCCATTTCAATCTGCAAAATTCAAGGATCAGTCATATCACCCCAATATCCCAGCCATCAAACGCAGGCGAATGCATTTATATATAAAATGCTTTGAAAATGTTTCGCAGTGATAGCAAATATAAAAACTTTTGTAAATACATTAATTTCAAGTAACACTTGTTCACAAACGTTTATCAATAAAACAATTCAATGCATTCTTTTGCGAAGGTTTTAAATTAGTCAACTTTAAAATATTTTCAAACAGTGCGATTTTACATTTTGATGCAAGAACAGAGACAGTTCTTACTTCTCATCTTTATATCACATATTTATTCACATATTCGTGGAAACACTTTATTGTTTTATCGCAATTAATTAATTAAAAATGTGATTACATTGCATGAATTTTTTAACACCTATTAATCTGTTTATTGCTTATGCCTATTTCTCTAAAAGTCCTCGTGCTGGAATCCCCTTTTTTTTCGTTTTATAATTATTGCATTCCGATCTCTTCCTTTTTAGTAAGGTCGGATACTTTTATTTTTCCTCCGTCTATTCCCGGCGCTTCTCTGTCAAATATTTAAAGGTTTGCTCTTTTTCACCGAGTTGCTGTAAATGTATCACATCTATTTTTCAACAGGCAGTCTTCGTAGAAAAGCTGCCTCCATTGTTTTCTTTTTACCCTTTCCTTAATTGTAGTACTGTCTGGATATACGATTCCGATATTTTCCGATCTACATGATTAACGAATTTCGTTAGACAAGACTGATGGACACTTGGAAGGAATATTCAACGCGATGGTAGCGATCCGCGAAGATTCCATTTCTACCACGCAATCTTCCATCGATCACGATAGTGTCCGCGATTCGTTACGACCGGCAGAGACATAATATCTGCGGATCACCTTCTTTATTAGTGGCATTCGCATCCAGGCGGGAGGTTTTCTGGCAAACTACCCGCACCCCGGACAGGATATGAATTTCATATTTTACGATAACATCGCGAGATGCTTATGGAGTAAGCGAATCTTGTCCCGTGCAGTTTTCACGTGCTTAAAGGAAAATTGTATCCACACTTGAATTTTCCTGAACGTTATTTCCCTTCGTTGAATATCGATATTTTCCCGTATCGTAACGGATCGCGTTAAAATTTGCGCCGCGGCAAAAGCGCCACAATAAATCGATATCAAAACTTAATCGAAATTTACTTAAATGGAACGAGGAAAACTCCAGCGCAAAATAGGTAGACTTCTTTTGTGTCGCGGTAAAAACTTTTATCGCATAATTCCGCGATATCTGACAGTTGCATATTATTTTTTCTCTTACCTTTCATTCTCTTATTTTTAATGAAAGTTCAGGGAAAAGTACAAGTCATAATTATGAATTTTTTACAACAATAGACGGTAATAAAGCTTTGACGGTATTAAAGCTTGTTAATAAGAAGAAAGTAGAGTTGAAAATTTCCCGTGCACAGTAATATGCTACGTCATGTAATTTTAGTTATATCATAATTCAGGAATACTTGATATTTATATTCGAATAATGTTTAATTTACTACGAGACAAAGGAAGTTCTACATTATACTTTTTTTTCTGAACGTCTCAGATTTCTATTCAAGCATTTTTTCTCGTACAACAGAATCCTATATTAAATATCAGCCATTCATGAATTCCTGTTCGCGTTGCGCAAGGAATAGTTGCTTCGGTATCTTTATCGTGCTTCTTTATCGATTTTTGCACCTTGCTCGACACTATTCATTGACGGGACGTGGCAACGTAACCGGGATTCGATTAATCGTTCTATCGTTTCACGAGTCGTCGGTTTATCGTCGCCTCGAGCAGATCGTAGGAGACTTCACGGTTATTCCTTTCACTTGACTTACCAGCAATAGCTTCCGGTTTCATCTCAAGTATGTTGGCTTCAAGTGCTTCGCTGTATAAAATACACATATACGAAGCCCGTAGTTAAGAACGTGAGAGTAATCGAAAAATCCAAGTTGAGAGGATACTATGACGCGTTATTCAAGTGAATCGATTGAAAATCTCGGAATTTCTTCTATTTTTATTGTAATTTTGTACCATTAGGATAAAAAAGTCCAAAGAGACGACGGCATTGACGAAAATCGTTGAAATATTTAGCGAAATATTGAACTTGTGACAAATTCGATTTATCATATGAATGAATTGACGTTCCGGTTTTTTTTACAACATGAAAGATTTACATATTTCAGGCGTACAGGTTTAATTTTTTCGCTCAACGAGCACAGGTTATTTACTATGGGTATTATTGGGCTATTAATCGGGAAAATCTAATAAAAAACATGTAACCGAAATCTGTTTCATTCGGCTCTCTAAATAATTCGGGGAATTAAATTGTGCACCGTAATACGGGTTCGATGAATGTCCGGTTGAATGTGCTAGTAAAATTTGATAATAAGCTCTAGCTATTTTAATTTTGGCGCAAGTCTGAATGTATGAATTGCGGAACGCCGATTAGCATACGGTGGAATGAACGGCGATTATTTTCCAGCGTCACTCGAGGCCTGAAAATTAATCGCCGAGGTCGGCACATACATATTCCTACATTTCGAATTGTCATATTTTAATTAAGTAAACGCGAAATGATTTTTTAGATGTAATTCTTATAATCTCCCTGCTATTTGTACGCGACGCGTTCTACGCACGTGTAATTGGCAAGCGAAGATATTTTTCGTGTAAATACGTGAAAAATATTTGTGAAGAATTTTTTTTTTATTTTTATTTTAGTGGAGCACGCAGCGAACATTTAATATCTTTGGCCGCTCCGGACCTTGATAGCCTAGTGATAAAGTTGAAGTGCTTTGTAAATTGAGGATCCGTTTCCAGTGCATCCAATTTCTCCAAAAATATTTGTGCAACGAACGAAATTGAAATGTGTATATAATATGCATTTGGACATTTATACGTATATAAACATCGGCAGTGAATCAAAATAACCGCTGTTGCAAATACATTACATACATTATGCAAAACTGACATTTCTACATGTATCCACGCGTAATTAGAAAATAGTGTCGATTACGTTTGGAACAAAATTGATCTTAACGACTTGGCAACAATTGCGGCGGCAATTATTTGATTGTTTATTGAATTCGCAAGAGATTCTCGTTCTACGAGAGATATCTCGCACACACGGTCGGAATTCTTTGAAAATTAGACTATTCGGACGAGTTATGTTTTTCGTGTTTCAAGTATCGCGACGATTAGTGAATTTCCAATACAAAGTTTGCTTTATTACTTTCACACAGGTCCGTTATCTGTGCGGCGGCAATAGCCGGTTCTATTCACGGACACTTCATTTTGCTGCAGAACAAACAAGCTTTTAATCACAGTTTCAGTTTGCAGCTATTGTCTTTGCAGTGCAATGCCCCGCGTTTACCCGATTCGCGCTACCAACGGCAAAATCAATATCCACGGTGGCGCGCTTAATATTTTTCCACGGTTACGCGTTCGTAACTGCCTTCTGAGGATGGCGACGGGATTACGCAATACACGTACCCCATTGTACTCCGCGGAAGCGCATAAAGCTGGCGACATAACGGGGTCTCCTCATTGGCGCTTGAATATTGGATAAGTTCGGCGGCGAGCACGGGGAAACGGAGCGATTACGGCGCCCGCACCGCCCCGTAACCCGCCGCTTCTCGAGTTTCGTCGACAATGACTATAAGAGAGACCCGCGAAATTATTATGTTTCAGTTCTGCCCCGCGAAGAGCCCGTTATCGTATCGGAACGCGATCGCTACGACCCGGGAGACATGTTGAGGGCAAATTGCAGCCTGCCACCCTCCAAGCCACCGGTTTACCTCTCATTCATGCTGAACAACATGCCGGTAAGTGATGCCTATCGACACGATTGTCGTATTATCGAATCAGAGCGAGAGAATGCGCGCTGGCGATTGGGTTCCGGCGTTATTACTTGTACGATAGAATCGAATTTGACCCTTTCGGCAGGGAAAAGTACTGGGCGTGATTCTTAAACGTCCGTCGAGCTTCTCGAGAGGCAAATTTATATTGTTTACTTATTATCGAACGATCTATTTCCGCGTGACAATCAATTTGGAAATGCGATAGCTTTTAACGATCAGTTTTACTGTCTCAGTATGCCTGTTACGTCCCATTCGTCTGGCCGGACGGGAAATTGGCCAAGTGTGAAAACACGCAAACGTTGAAATGTACACGTTGTAAAAATACTTGGAGTCGCGGCGACTCTTTTTTCCTCTTTGTCAAACGGTCCATTTAACAGCTGCACCCCTTTTTAGCTTCATACCACTCAATCGGAATCCGCTTTTCTCACATCTTCTCGCTTGAAATGGGCCTTTTTATAAAAATTGTTAAATCGAAGACTATTTGCTCTTACCACCCCATGAAACTCGTAAGCCTCATTGAAAGTGCACAGGATTTCGATATCGATTTTCAATTTACGGAATGTATGTGTCTACATAGCTGCTATTATCATCGTCGCCAATGTTTATTGTAGTAGGAAACTCCTCTAACCGTTCGGAAAGGAGATCATTTCCGCACGTTACTATTTTCCCTTTATCGCCGAAATCACGCGCCTCGAAATGGCTTCCATTTATCACCGGCTTTTAACTGATGTGCGCGGAATTTGCATAGTCCTACTGCGAGGGCACATTTTAGAGCTCAATTTAGTCGGAAATAATTCCGGCGCAAGAACATTGAGGTATCCTGGCGCGGTCTAAGGGAGAGGCGCATTGACAGACCTTAAAGGGGTTAAAGCAAACCCTTTGTCCCGCGAAAATGCGCAGCGATATGCGTATCGTCTGTTTTGGCAATCCAGTTCTTACACCGGGATTGAGGTCCTGGAATTAGACCACGGATGATTAAGTCTTACCCGGATGCTTCGTGTCATCGTCGTCTCCGAAGATAAGAGGTTTTATCAAACGCGTCCGCGGGATAAGGAAAATTTGAATAATCGGATAATCCGTGCAAAAGCCGCTAGCGGCACCGGACGAAATACTAATAATTGCGATACGAGCAAAAATGTTGTCGAGTAACTTTTGTCGGGTGAAACACAGGTGGCACGGGCGCGGCCCTCCGGCGATGCATTACCCATAATCTCCGGGGATGACGTCGCGGGGATCTCATTAGCTGATACAGCTAAATGCAAAATGGAATCGCGGCCCAGGCCTGATCGCCCGCGGAAATCCGAAATTCGCCGTCGACCTTGATCGAGCAGCATCTCAATGTGACGTGTCTCGTCTTGCGAACATTTCTATTCTGCTGGCGTCCTTCTTTCACTCTTGACTGTTTGCACGATGAACGTTACTCAAGTAAAGAGAAAAATGATGCTTGATTGGTCTTCGTCAAATATCTTGCGACATCAATCGGAAAGATATAAACTGAACTTTCTTCCATAGAATATTATACTAGGCAAATATTTTATCTATTTACTTGTAATTCAATAAATACCTAATCACGATGAATTAAGTCTGGTGTCCACGCACTAGCCGAGACTTCTCACACGTCTGGCAAGGGTTTTGTCCCGCGATTTTCGTCTGGCAGCCGTATATTTGTGTTAAGGGGGTTCTGAGTGAGAGTTTAAAACCAAAAACAGCCATTTATGTATGACGTAAACGATAAGTGAAAAATTTGAACACGTCTGGCGCCCCCCATGTTCTAGCGAAAACGTCTGGCACCACTTTTTCGTGGCTTATTATTGTCAAAATTCCTACACAAAAGTCAGCCATTTATAAGTGACGTAACTTTATTGGTTTCTTTTTGCAATTTTAATATACGTCCACACATCGTTGTTCTAACGCCCAGACGACGGTTTTCGTTATCGTCGGGGCACATGATTTCGTAAAATATAAGTTTCGTCCGTTTATAAATGGCGTAGGAGAAAATGTTTACTGGCTCTCCGACTATTAGTTTTTTATTTTTCACAAGTTTCTAATGCTGTTTACATGTCACCATTTACATGTCACAACTATGCACCTAGATACAGTCTTGCTCATCTAATTTGTATTTGCTTTAGCCGGTCCAATCGAGATAATCAAGACGACAGCGAATCGTAAATTTCTTCGTAAAACTGTAACGATATTATCTCCCGGACGCGCGGCGTGATAATAAAAAGCCGGGAAAATACGAATCCGGAGAAATCAACCGCGGGTTTCATGGGGCCAGGGAAATTAGTATCGCGTATATACTATATGTATACATATAAGTGCGAGTAACGAAGGAACAACCGACGACGAGGGCGGGGGGGGGGAGGAGGAGGGTAGTAACGAATTGCCCAGGTCATGAGCAACCGGGTCGGTCTGCTAGCTTCTTACGGCTAACGTCTTGTCGAGAAACTCGTCGAATTTGCAGGGAACGTTTCTGAGAGCGTGGAAGATATCTTGTCGCGGAAACAACGGTTTCTTACGGCCGGGGCGTTGCCAGTACAAGTTTACTCGCGCCGGAAAAAGTAGTTTGCTCCTGGGAAAAACTTTTAGGTAGTTGATCTCTCACCGAGGAGATTTATCCTCCGATTTATTCGTGGAAAGTCTTTGAAATTGTTATTTCAATTATTATTGCCGTGCAACTTTAATGTTTGCTAACGAATACCGCGTGTTTACCATTTGCTACTAAATAGGTAATTGTGCAAATGCGTAACATCGCATTCGATTGTGGCGCACAACGAATTATGCTTCCTGCGCTTCAATGCTGCTGAATTTCTTAATGAAAAAGAGAACGCAACAAATCCAATTGCACAATGCTCTCTTTAGTTTTCGTTTTGCTACAGTTTCGTGGATATTTATATCGTGGAAATACATTGGAACTTGTCGAATTTTAATGTCACTCGCAAGTAATTTTATCGTCAAAAAATGAAGATATATTATGGAACAGGAGAGTACTAGAAAAATACTGTTTGCTAACATTTACAGTCTATCATTTTTTCCGCAATATTATTGTATGTAAGCTAAATAGATACCAAAATGTGTTTATTAATTATTGACTATTATAAAATATTAATAATAAATAATATTTGCTACATATGAAATGCGTATTTGCGACATCAAATGCGGGCGCGAAAGATCGCATTATCAGTAAAGTATTTCGATTGTAAATATAATAAAATGATAATAAGACTCTTCCCGGCTGATAAGCGCTTTCTAAATTTCAAATGAATGAAAATGGAAAAGCGACTATAATTGATATGCTGTACTTGTTAATTTTCTGTTTTCCATGCTGCAACACAAATATATAACATACGCTAGGGGGTATCTTCGATAATACGAAAATTGATAAATTACGGTTTTAATGACATGGCACGTCGCAAAAGAGACAAACGGTTTAACTCGGGCTTATAATTGCAAATGTTTATTATTAAATATTTATCATTTTATCGCTAAATGAAACGCTGTAGCGCATTCGTATATCGCCTATAATAAATCTCCTTTAACTGTACTAATATTAAGCATACCGAATGCGCTTGGAAACTTTTAATTGTAATAGTTCACACAACGCACTCGTATTTTCTAGTAGCTTCAGCCCAATAGCTGAATGTTTACATCGCGTTTACTTTCGCGGCTTGATATTCCTAAGGTTAATCTGCGCGCCGGCACTATCGCAGGCGCGAATAAATTCTGCGCAACTGACGCGCGCTCTTACGCAGATATCAATATGCAGTCGTTATCCTTTAATACCTCATAGCCCGACGTCGTAAGCGGCACTAGATCACGCGCGATCTCGCTTATCCTATTGTACATCCGCGACGTGCACGTGTGAGGCAACGAGAATGGAGCGTTCGGGCATTCTCGTCCGGTATATAAACCGATATAACTTTGAAGAGACGAGAGATAAAGAACGCGAAAGAGGTATAAAGTGTCTGTCTTGCACTCGCATTAATATACAACGTCGATAACGTTCTCATTGTGAAATGCGATCACATCAGTACGTTGATTTTGCACGTGGCCGCACATTCAAAAGGAGTACATCAGCCACTTATGCGCTGACATGGTATTAATTTTTCATATTTTTGGGAATCAGGTTTGATACTATTCCCCATTATTTTAGATTTTAATGCTGGGTTATTTCGTTGAGATATTTCTACGATTATGAAAGAGTCCCTCTCCACGCTTTATTTCCACCACGTCCTCCTCTTTTGCACCCTTCGCATCATCCACGCGAGATTTACACAGCCGTGAAGAACAACTTATCGGAATACCATGTATTACTCGATAATATGGACGGGATTCGTTATTTGAGTGAGATTTATTGTGGTTTTATGCGTCGCTCGACTCATATAACCGCGCTGCCAAGCCTGGCGATGGCAAATTACGACCTCTCTGAAATATCCGTTTGATGCTCCGCTTTTTTGCTCCCGTGATTTTGGTTTTAATAAATTTGTTGGGTATTTTTCCGCAGAGAATTAATGTTCGGGTGTTCTTTTTCATTTTATTCTCCCTTCGGATCAGTGCTTCAGCTTTTAACTTAAATCCGGGTCTTATTCGACATGTTAATTTGTGCCTTCGCGTTTATAACTAAAGTGAAAACGGTAAACATCAACTTTTGCTCAAAACGAAATAGAAACGCGTTAGGAGTCAAGTTTCGAGTAATATTTTGTTACAAAACTCGTTTGCAAGAAAATATTTAAATAACACAGGCAAGAATTTGCATATAAATTGTATAATAAACACGACCTTTTAAGGGTCTTTAACCACTTTGTAATTTAAAAATGTTATTATTTTCGGCGTTCATTTAATTTTAATTGTTTTATGTTAACACGGTTGAATAATTTTTAATTGACTAACAAAAAAATCTTTCCAGGCTGTACTTTCACCTTCAACTTTTTCGAAATTCATACTGTCCCAATTATCGTAGAGTA